GAATTAAGATTTTTCTAAACTTCCTGCAGGTAACTTTGAATGTGTTTTTGTTTTGTTTTGTTTTGTTTTTTTTTTTTTTTGGGGGGGGGGGGGGTGTTTTTGTTTTGTTTTTGTTTGTTTGTTTGTTTGTTTGTTTTGTTTTTTAGCTTTGTGGCCAGTTTAACTGAGCAGTTTAATTGAATTGTGAAGTTATCCCAAAATGTTAAAAATATAATTCTGTTTCTAAAAGCTTTCAATGCAACTGGTGTAGCTAGTCAAAGTAAGTAGAATTAAGGATTTCTTTCCTTTGCTGGCACCTAGACTTGGTCTTTCGGTAATTTTTCTTATCAAGTGGCCAAGAGGATGACTTGTTTTAAAGCTTGACTGCTTATTGAAAGTAGACAAAATAAGGATAAACAAAACCAGCAATGAAGGGTGAAGGCGAACCACAGTGCTCACATTAGGTCCCACCTGCAGTGTGACCATGAGGCAAGAACAATACTTGTGCTTCACCTTCAGAAAGAATGCTGTGCACACCCATCACTCATCCTGCTGCCAAGATCTTGGCTATGTGCGTTGAAGAGAGAGCAAACAATTTCTGAGTATTGTTCTGTGAAGAGGGAACTATATGGATAAAACAAAGACTTCTGATATACATGAGGATTGCCAGAATATCATTTTGGCAAGTGTCAAGTGTGGTGTTTAGAAGCAAGCCAGAAGCATTCCAAACATCTTGAACACTTCCCTAAATAAACTGTGAAGTATCTACGTTGCAGACCTGGTTTCCTGCAAGGGTGACACAGGACATAACCGTGCCAAGCATCTTGAGCAACTGGAGAGCCTCAGACTGTCTGTCTGCCCCCGATATCTCACATCCTTGGTGCACCAGAACTACTCAAATCTGGTTTTCTTTCATGTCTTGAGCATATGACCTTCCAAAGATGACTTTTCCATGGGGACCTAGGAGTCCTGCTGTCACAAAGCAGGGGAAAATCAGAAAATGAATCATAATCCTTGGAAAATGTATGATGCTTTCAAAGGGAACTTGGATCAAGTGATGTAAGTTGGCAGCTTCTGAAGGTCTAGAAAATAAACGGGCAGAGATCCCCAAAGAGCTTAGGAAAAAGTCCTGCCATGTGTGAATGCACCGTCTTTGGAAACAGCTGATTGTGGTTTAAGAGTGAGTAGGAAGTATGGCCTGCATGGTTTCAGTGGAAGCTGATGTCTGCTTTGGAAAGCTCATGTAGAAGTGATGGTGCGAACAGGGCTGGCCATGTGCAGTGGGGGAGCTCATGCTGATGTATTGCTGGGAACGCTCCTTGATGAGAAGTCTTCAAGAGAGTCGGGGATGGCTGTAACCTGGGGGAATAAGTCCTCTTTGCTTTGTTCATAGCATTCCCTAGGAGGGTGTGTGGCTGTTGACTTTGTGGCCTTAGAGGACAGTTTATTTTTTTATCAGTATTTATAGGTATTTTTCAAAGGGCACATTAAAAAGAAAGCAAAAAAAACCCAACCCCTGTTGACATATGTACTGTTAACAGAGAAGAATATCCTCTCCCCCACTTGCTATGTTTGTGGGAACTACTGGCTATAATAAATATTATCTTTGAAAACATCTCTATTTAAACTTAATCCTCCCATAACCTTTCAGCCTAGGCTGTGGCATGTGAAAATGGATCTGAAATGTCCTCACTCCATATGCTCATGCTACTGCTGGCTTCTGCCTCCTTGTTTCTAGGACCCATTAAAGAAGCCAGCTCATTCCTTAATGCTGTGTGTAAACAGGGGGAGTCACTTTTGATTCACATGAACCTGTGAATTGTTAAGCTGTCTCCCTGAGAGTATGTCTCTGACAAATATGTGTGTTCTGCAATGCACTCCAGTTAACTTTTGGAGGTGGAGGCCTGAGGAGTTGTTATGAAAGCTGCTTCCCCCTGAGCTGTAGGTATAAGGAATGTGCTAAAACAAGAGTCAGCTTTCAGAGAACTGAATGTCTGTCTAAATAGCTTCCCAACTCCCCTTTGGGAAGAAAGAATACCTTCTTATCTAGCCAGAATCTCTTTTATCTTCTAATTTTGCTACAGAAAAGTCAGGGCTGGGAACAAGTTTTGTAACTTGGCTGAAGCCTGAGGGAGGATCCTCACCTCGCAGGTGATACCTGTGCCCATTGTATCCTAACAATTCTGAGAGGGTTATCGATGCCATCTTTCCCTGAATGGTTTTGCTGTCTTTGTATCTCCTTCACATCCCACACTGAACTCAGCTTAGTGGGATGTTAGTGTAGGCATAACAACAGCAATTTACAGCATTCCTTATGGGGCAGCCCTGTGCCTCTGAAAAACACATGATAACATGGGACTTGAGTGACTTGGTAGCTGGAAAGAGATGAGAAACTGTGCCTGACTTTAGAAGACAGGCAAGAAACAGTGCTATGCTTTGGAGCAATCTATTAGTGAACTGAGGACAAGCAATAGTTGATATCCCCTCCCCTCCGAAGATATTATTGGTTTAGGTATCTCTAACTTGTTGTCCAGAGACCAGAACTGGACTGTTGGTTTCCAGGTGCAACCTTTGGGAGAGGAAAACAGCTCTGGGGCAAGGTATCACACCTCAGGCAGCTCAGCAAATTCTGTGATGATTGCATGCCCTCTTCTATACCTTCCTGCCTGGTGCTGTGTCACCCAGCAAGGGCAGGGAAGGCCACCTTTAAAAGATACCTTGGTGAGACTTGCGGAAGTTTGTTATACTAATGAGGCTTAATTAAATTAAAATGGGGAAGACAGACCTGTCTTGATCTAATCAGAAGGGCCATTTGTTGAAGATGGTGTATTGCTTTGTCAGAGCTGTAATTCTGTGTAGAGCAGCAGGCTCTTAAGAAGAAAGCAGCCAGCTTGTTGGCCTGGAGTATAGGTTAGATGCCGGCCTCTTTCCATTGAATATGAACTTTAAATCCATGTGGGAGATCCGACTTTGAGAGGAGAGGGCAGATGTACAGACTTGGCTTTCTTTACAAAGGACTTTTGTTTTTTGGTCTAATTATTGCTGAAGGAATTCTAGCAGGTGAGTGGCAGCATTCTCACCCCTTTCTGCATGGTAGGAGTTTGGTGAACAAAGCCTTGGCTCCTTGTCTGTGGAAGGTATGATAAATCTGTAATATGTGCTACAGGCGTAGTGGGATAGCTTCATTTCTTCCCTTCCCCCTTCAAATGAAGCAAGAAACAAAAGGAGCAGACAGAGTTTATTGTAGCATCAGCTACAGACTTGCCACATGGCAGTTTAAATGTCATCTTGAAATGATATTTCAAGGCAGGGGTGTACGCAGACAAAGAATCCTTCTTCGGTAGAGACTAATTGACTTGAAAGCCCTTTTGTGAAGTGAATATGTGCACAGCAGTGACACGGATCTAAGGAAACCCTCTTGTCACTAGCATGACTTCCAGGTTTAATGACAAATTGCATATTCGCTCCCATAATGCAGCTTCTTTCTTTCCCCTGAGTAATTGGAAACGTGAGTTGTAGCTGTTTTGAGTTGTGTGTTTCTCTCGTCATTGCTGGTGTGTTGAGTTCATCTCAGAAGTACTTAAGGATCTGTAAGTCATACAGCTTTACCTAGTAGTAGGAGTATTAGTGCAGGTCTCCAATCTGTTCTCGCAGTTAGGAAAGAGTATAATATCCACCTCTGCACTGCTCAAATATGTTTGGAGGTATCCAGCAGTTCTGAATTTCTGTGGGAAAGCTGGCTGAAAACAAAACCACCCCAAACCCCAAATTTACAATATGAATATACATTTAAGTGAAGAAGCTGTATCTGAACGGGATTTCCCTCAATTAAAAGTATTCCCTTGGTCAAGCGTAAAAAATCCATTATTTTCTGCGTTGCTGGTTTGTTTTGTTTTGGTTTTGTCCCCTGAGAGCTTTAGATCTTTGTGTAAGGAATAGCGTAATAGAAGTGTTGAAATGTGTCTCCATGTGGTTTTGGGGGTGGGTCTGTTTTGAATTTTAGTTTTGGGAGGGTTTTTTTTTTTTTTTTGTGGGAGGGTTGTTTTTTGGGGGGTAAGGGGGGGATTTTTATTTTTATTTTTTACTCCAATCACTCACCCAGTTGTTTTTATCTCACTTTTCTCCTTCCTTCTTTGCAAAACCAGTACACACAGATTTTTAATGTCAACTTTCATTTGTGAGCACTGGAGTTACACATGGCAGTTACTGATCCAGGTCCAAAATTACCATTGGAGGTCTTGCAGACTAAAACCGTACTAACTTTTAGGACATGTGTTCTGCTGAGTCTTTTCCCTTCATTAAGGGTTGGAGTTCAACTTTGTGCTTTCTTGATTTCCCAGCTGTGCTTTGTGTGTGTGTACAAGTCTAGTTTTGTTGTGACAGTGCCTGATAGGCTGTGACTGTATCCCTCAGTCCTCAGGTATGAGCAGTGTCACATCCTGCAGTTTTAATTGCTATGCTCTGTACCATCAGAACATTATATACCTGAGGTTTGGGAGCTGGTTTACATTCCTCCTCATAAGCCTGCCTGCTTCCTGGCTGTCAGGATTGCTGTGCCTCTCCAGGTGGCTGAAGAAGCATTTGATTTATATATCCTAGCTGTCTAGTACAGCCTGCTGCGTCTTGGAGACCTTCTGAAAGGTGGTGGGGTGTAGGAAGGTTGGCACTCTTGAAGTTATTTTGAAGTAAATTCTCCAGATGCTATATCCTCTGGGGTTGTCTTGAAAGGAAAAGCTGAAATTAATTGTAAGCTTAGGCAGTCTTCACACCTGAAATATTAGAGGGCGAGTGAAAAGTAATGATCTCTCTAGAATGCAACAAGTTTTAGTATTTCGTATGTGGAAGGTTGCCTTTTCTGCTCCTGTTAGCTTGGGAACTGTGAATACTTGGTAGACTCCTAAATGACAGAATATGCAAAAGGTTGCTCTTGTTTTGTTTCTGAATTTCCCTTTTCCTTCCCCTCCCCAGATGCTGTAGGTGTTTGGCTCAACACTTACTGTTTCTTGTCTTTGTTTTTATAGACTGAGGTGCTCCTGATCAACCAGATCTTTCAGGAATTTTCAGAAAAGAGACTTTGGTGGGTAAAAGATGTGCCATGGAATGGTAGCACCAAAGAGCAACACAGGATCGTCTCTTGCCTTGACTAGACATGGGTTATGTCTTCTGCTAGTTATCTTTGGTACCTTTATCTTGGAAGCACAGGCCACAGGTAAGTGAAACCTTTGCAAACACTGCAGGGAGGAGGAGATACAGAAGTATGGAGGTGGCCTTATATTTTTATGGGGAAGCTGGTGATGGTTAATGCATTTATACCCATCTTTTGGTACTCGCAGGAAAAATTCCATTGCTGCTTGTTAAGCAGATGGCAGTGTTTGAACTGAAAGTTTTATATATTAGTAAATAAGTGGTTTTCCTTTACTCTGTAATTTTTGTCCCCTCCACTTTTCTCATTTCACTGCAGTTGGGAGCACTTGGACCATCTCAAGAGCAAGGACCACATTTTAGCTGAGTGAGATTTTCATGTAGACAATCTTACCTGTATACCCTGCAGCAACTGTTCATGTGAAATAATTTTGAAAGCACTGACTGTCTTCAGCTCTTTCCAGAGCTGATTAATCTGTTCAGTGTTCTCTTGTGTGCTATCTTCTGACACCTCAGCACCTGCTAACTGCACCCCTCTGTTAGATCCTCTTTTGCAGCTTCAGCTTTTCCCCTCTCCCCTTTCTAACTTTTTGATATTTATTTAATGGGCAAGTGTTGTGAATAATGTAAATAGCAGCATGATGGGATGATATGTAAATGTCAGCAGAGATGAGGGGATCTGCCTTTTAGAAATGAAAGGAAGAAAAAAGTATACTGGATGCTCACAAGGTGGCTCATGATGTAAAGTACATGCTTGTTTACCCAGTATGCCCTGAAATGTGTTTTCTCTCAGACCAACCTTGATGTAGCTTTTGTCTGTAAAGAGGTGCCTAATCATAAGTGGCATGGGGTGGAAGAAATAACTTTGTGTGCTCTTGCACAGAACTTTGAAGGAGGTTAGTTCCGAAAAGGCATGTGTGTTTGACTTCAGCATCTGTTGCAATGCAGAACATTAGCTTGCCTTTGAAAGGAAACTTGAGTTCTTGACATACTCTAAAAAGTCTTATTTATTTGACGTATCGTGGCACCTGAAAATGTCCCATGACCACCACTCCTCAGCACCAGTGAAGCTTGAATTGGCCTCTCCGTGGTAGAGCAGAATAAATGCTAGTTGCCACATGCACTCAAAGCCAAGGTTATCCTACATGGAAAAGTCTGCTGGTCCTGAAAGCAGGAGGAAGAGCTGATCTCCTTTTAGTATTTCTGGCTCTTCAAGTTGGAAGGGAGAGGCTGCTGAAATTGATATCCCAGACTTGTACATCTTTCTGGCCTGATTTTGGCTTTGTAGGTACTGAGAGGTGGGGAGTACACACAAGAGAGTGGCAAACTCTGGGTAAGAGAAGGCTGTGTGGAGACCTCATAGCAGCCTTCCAGTATCTGAAGGGGGCCTATAAGGGTGCTGGGGAGGGACTCTTCATTAGGGACTGTAGTGACAAGACAAGGGGTAACGGGTTAAAACTTAAACAGGGGAAGTTTAGATTGGATGTGAGGAAGAAGTTCTTTACTGTAAGGGTGGGCAGGCACTGGAATGAGTTGCCCAGGGAAGTTGTGAATGCTCCATCCCTGGCAGTGTTCAAGACCAAGTTGGATGTAGCCTTGGGTGATACGGTTTAGCGTGAGGTGCCCCTGCTCATGGCAGGGGGGTTGGAACTAGATGATCTTAAGGTCCTTTCCAACCCTAACTATTCTATGATTCTAACTGTCAAGAACACGTAGTCAGAGTGGGACAAGGTCCTTTTGGATCTGGTCTGTCCTTGTTTTTTTCCAGTCTTGCTGTTGTTGGTGATAACGTCACTGCCTCATTTCAGATATGTCTGTCAGATATGCCTTCCAGCCTGGGGCTGGAGTGCACCATCCCTATCTGAAACGCCTATTACATTCTGCAGCACATTCAATTGAGTCTGTAATCAGTATGCAAATGCCTTGTGCTGCATGGGGCTGCTGCGTGGGGAAAGGCAGCCACAAGACTGGCAAGCCTTCTTAGTATCATTTTTTGAGTCATCAGGTCACATTAACGAAAGCACTAGTTAAGCGTTAAGCATGTCAGAAGACTCTTTTCTGCATTGTTTCCCTTTCTGTGTTACTTTTGCTTCAGGACCTGAAACCAGCTGTGGAAAACTGATCAAGGCAGATCATCAGCTAAATAGGATTATAGTGGCTGGGCATGAACCATTTCCTGAAGGGGAATTGAGAAAGTGAGTGCATGTGAAGGGAAGCCCAAGATCATAGCAGAGGGCAAGTCATGAAGGGGGGAAACATCCTAGGGAATGTCTTGCTGGGGAGAGCTTCTATGCACAGGTTTTGTGAGAGTGGGAGGTATCAACCCAGCTGCTAGTTGCTGGGAGGGATGGGGGTGCTCAGCAATGTGTCATGGGCCCAGAGAGCTGCACCTGCAGCAGCACGCCAGCCATGAGTAACACTAATGAGCAAGTCAGCCACGGAGGAGAGAGCCAGATGGAGAAACAAAGAACACTAGCGAGGCACTTGGAAAATCATCTTTCCCTCATCTTTGTCCCCCACCATCTTCGCTTCATTACTTTACACAGCAAAATCTTTCAGAGGAGGCAGAGCAAAGCAACGTTAACATGAAGCAACAGATTGTATTAAATCTCTTGGTGGTAATGCTTATCGTGAATAAGGGGCCAGCGTGACACGCTCATGATTGCTACAAAAGCTGAAGAATGTTCTCATAAAAAGACAGACAAGCATGGAGACAATGGCTGGCTCAGCTTTCAGTGAGAAAGCAGAGCTTGTGATTCATATGTTTAAAGCCATATGATGTATATTGTATTGCAATAATTTTGCTGTTTAGAAATTGTATTGCTTGAGTTCCAGGAGGCTTAGATATATTCATTTTGCGCACAGGAATGTGTTCTCTTTGCCACGTGTTTAATGCAGAGGGCAGACTCATTTCCAGTCAGCAAGCATCTGGTCTGTCCTCTGGTAATAAATTGATTTTTATTTATGCATGGATTTAAAGAAAAATCTTCAGTGTGTTGTCTCAAGCAATCTATCCAGATATCCTGGAGTGCCATGAGATGAGTATGATAAGTTGCTTAGTCACTAAACACTGTAGAATTTGGAGAAACTGCTCCTTATTCACAGGAAGATATTCATGAATCCAAAAATAACTGCTGCACATATTTTAACACAAAACAAGTGCAGCATTTGGTGATGGGCAAGCAATAAGGCTGTGTCAGAAGAGGAGGATATATGAAAACTTCAGTGCTGTTCAGAAATGTATTTCGAGCCTTTATTGCTGTTTTGCCTTTTCTTCCCCTGTCTGGGAAGTTCTCCAGGATTAGTTGGGGGAAGTAATGAAGGAATATGGAGGCAAAGAGGCTTGGAAAGCAGGGACCTAAAATACTGATGCTTAGCTCTTCATTGTGTCTTCTGTTTTCTTTTGAGGGTTCATTTGGGATGTATCCTCATGAAAGAGCCGGGATGCGTAGTGGATAGAGATGGGGAATTTTTGACATGTTGGAGAGGAGCAATAACACCCATATTACTTTTCTACAGATAATGCTTCTCCGTTATTTCTTTCTTACTGTCTTCCTCCGTTCTCTAGCCCTTAAGGTTATTCCCAAGCTCTCGGAGGCCTTGTGTTTATATCTCATTCACAATAGTTCTCCTATCTGGCCAGGCTATTTTTGGAAGGATAACAATGGATCAGAATAAGTTGCTCATTAAATTTTAACATGTAGTCTCTAAAGTACTCTGAAAGCTTCCTATCATTTGTGTTCCAAATGATGTAATCTGTGTTGGATTCATAACCAGCTGTCAGAAGCATATCAAAAAATAGGTTGGGCCTTTCATTATTGATAATAGTGTCACCTGGTCCTTGGAAATGCAAGTAAGGGTGTTGATAGAAGTATTAAACATCCCAAATTAAGCAAATATTGATACCCATAAAGGAAAGAGTTTAAATATTAACCTTTAAAAATTATTATTAATGCAGGCTGAGTGAATCTAAGTCCACTTAGATTTTAGCTGCAGCCTAATTTGTTGGCTGATCACATGTGAAATGCTATAAAGCTAGCTCTTTAATTTTTGGGATTGCCATTAAAGTGAAAATTAAGCTTGAATAAACTGAAACAACTTCATTCCTGTGTGTTGTCTCTGACGCAAATGCAGCCAATCTGCCACTTGCTGTTCTAAGGTCTTTTCAGTGCCAAGGTTATTCTGCACAGCTCTTCGATACCACTGGTATTTGTTTGCATTGCATAGAACAGCTTGTTAGAGCACACTCCAGTCACTGAGCATGTTCAGACTTGTTCCTGCTCTTTGGGAATCTGTGCAAAGCAGAGGTTTCCTTTGTCTCTGATTGTGCAGCTGTAAGGAAGGCGTTTGTGCAGCTATGGATGAATTCAGTGGTCATGCAAACAAGGACACTGTAACATCGGATGGCCAGACAGAAATGTGGGGAGGTGTCATGCATGAACAGAGGATCAGATCTTGATTCTAACTTCCAAGCTTCATTTGATTGTTGATTTGGAGAAATTACAGGGTCAGCTCAAAAGAGGGTGTAGTTCTGCATGGAAGAACTACATGAGCAGAGAAGAGATTTAGAGCAGCCTTGCGGAGAAGGACTTGGGGGTGCTGGTCGATGAGAAAATGAACATGAGCTGGCTTCAGTGTGCGCTCGCAGCCCAGAAAGCCAACCGTATCCTGGGCTGCCTCAAAAGGAGCGTGACCAGCAGGTCGAAGGAGGTGATCCTGCCCCTTTACTCTGCTCTTGTGAGACTTCACCTGGACTATTGTGTGCAGTTCTGGTGTCCTCAACATGAAAAGGACATGGAACTGTTGGAACAAGTCCAGAGGAGGGCCACAAGGATGATCAGGGGACTGGAGCATCTCCTGTGTGAAGATAGGCTGAGAAAGTTGGGGCTGTTGAGCCTGGAGAAGAGAAGGTTGCGTGGAGACCTCATAGCAGCCTTCCAGTATCTGAAGGGGGCCTATAGGGATGCTGGGGAGGGACTCTTCATTAGGGACTGTAGTGATAAGACAAGGGGTAATGGGTTAAAACTTAAACAGGGGAAGTTTAGATTGGATATAAGGAAGAAGTTCTTTACTGTAAGGGTGGGCAGGCACTGGAATGAGTTGCCCAGGGAAGTTGTGAATGCTCCATCCCTGGCAGTGTTCAAGGCCAGGTTGGACGAGGCCTTGGGTGACATGGTTTAGTGTGAGGTGTCCCTGCCCATGGCAGGGGGGTTGGAACTAGATGATCTTAAGGTCCTTTCCAACCTTAACTATTCTATGGAGAGAAGGGGAAGCACTTTCAGGTGCAATTCCTCCTCTCAGTCCCTTTGGAGACTTCAGTAAGGGTGGAGAGGTACAGAAGAGCATGGTGAAGAACTGTGGAATAATGGCCAGGCTGCAAAGGTGTCTGGGAAGTGGTTGCAGACAGGCCCAGAACTACAATATTCAGATTGTAATACTCTTATTGTTACTACACTGATCCAGGCAGTGATATTTAAGCAACTGTTTTGAAGCGATTAATAGGTGTTTCAAGAAGCCACACAACTTGTTTATTTTTAACCAGTTCTAATGGTTGAAGTATGAATTAAAGCTGTGTGGTGTTTACCTACCTGCTGGATTAAACCACAGCAGCATAATAGTAATCCTGAATTTTCACTTTGTCTGTCGTAGGTTGGCTCAGCAAATCCAAAGGACCTGCATGTGAGTAGACTTACATTCAGTGCTGTAATATGAGAAATGAGTGTGATGTTTTATTGGTTAATGTAACTGGCTATGAGCTAGGATTCCCATCACACTTCTGTTGTGTTGGATAGGCTAAGATCTCTCTCTGTTTTCATTGTTGGCCATTGTATTTGGGAAAGATGACTGCCCTCAGTTTGAGAGAGGAAGGTCAAGTTTGTATGTTTCACTCTGCTTGAAGGGATTCCTGTGCCTTCTAGAGCATTTAACTTCAAATTACTCAAGAAAACACAAATAGAATAAATATTTGATTAAAGCACACAAAGAGATGCTGCTTGTGAGAATTTTGAGAGGCTGCCAGAGAGGATTGAGAGGAGAGAGAGGGCAAGCTGAGGCAAAACCCTCTTTGTTCCCTTTAATCAAGAAAGATGAACATCTTATCACAGAGCATGACTCTGGATATATTCCATTGGACACTCCTGCTTCCTGCTTTCCATTTCCTGTGCTTGGAAAAAGTCTGAAGTCTTTCCAGTGGGCATGTTATCAATATAAATGTGGGAGGAATTGGGAAGCGTATTTGGCTTCTGTATCTGTTAGCAGGAAAATAAGCTGCAGCTTGAGCTAGAATGAGACAGACACAGCTTGTAACAAGCTGTAGTCAGGAGTGATTGTAGGGAGCTGAAGGCACTTGAGTAGCAAGCTCAAAAGTGCTTGTACCTTTGTGAGAGTAGTTGAAACTCAGTGACAGGAGCATGGCATTGTCTCAAGAAGTTGTACCTGCTTATCTGTGTGCACTGATCTGCATCTAAAATTCATTTTCTTTCTAATGAACTGAAACTTCTGGGGAGTGTTCATCTTCCTCTGCAAGCAGAAATTCCCCTGGGGCTCTGCTTTTCAGAGCATTGTACTGGAGTTGGAGGACTGCTGAATTGCTTGGTTCCAGATGCAGTGGAAGGGATTTGAAGTAACTCCTTAGGTATGGGGCTGCTTAGGTGAGTTACAGGATGTGCTAGGTGGATTGGGCTTGTTGAAGAATAAAATGAGCTTTTTGGCTCAACCTAGTACAGTGATCCTTTTATTATAGAATGGGGAAGAGAACAACTGGAGTTCCTGTGCTGAGAAGACTGCCAGATCTCAAGAGGTGATGGGATGCTCTCACACTGCTGTGTACCTTGGCCTGGCTGGTGCTTGCTGGAGGTGCCTCCTGTGTCCCTTCTCTGTAGGGCCAATGTTGTGAATGCAAGGATAAGTGCATTTATCTACTTGGTGTTAAAGGAAGCATTTCAGGGGAAGCAGAAGCCAAAGAACTGAACTGTAGGGTACCAAAAGAGCATCTTTATATCTTACAGGCTCAGCATTTTAGATCTAGCCAGTCATCTTAATTCTATGGGTAAAATTTTTCTTGTTTGAGATCAGAAAGAAACATGAATAATGCTTTTGAGATATATCTTTCACTTTGTCAGTAAAGGGAGAAGCATGTCTGATTTGAAAAATACTGTAGAGATAAGCATTTCTGGTGGATGAACATCTTGAATTTTCAGCTCTCAGGTAGGGAACAGGCATGGTAGGCCTGATGCATGCAGAGCCAGGCAGAGGCTGCTGCTGCTTTTCTGGCTTGAAGGAACATTTTCTATGTCCTGAGGAAAAGCTCAACATGGTGTGTAATGAGTTTTGTGTCAGACATACCCTTAGGTGTCCATAAAATTGTCCATCAGAAAATAAAACTGTTTTGTGATCCTATCAATTTTGTTGTTAAGCCAACTTTGCATTCTCTTTTGCTTCTTTTTCAGCAGAGGTATCAGCTGCTGAGACAACAGGTGAAGTTGTTCTGGTTTAGGTAGAACTAGAACATCTTGAAGACAGTGGAGGTACCTGGAGACTCTTAAGGCACAGAAAAGGACTAGAAGTGAGTGGAGATTTTTAGGAAGGTGGTAGAATAGATTGAAGGTGAGTAAGGGTCAGGGGAGAATAAGATCCTAGGAAGAAGAAGAGGGGAACAGAGCGGTACAGCAAAGCAGGGAGGTGAAGGCTTCCACAGGTGGAGTTGTGAAAAAGATCTTGGTGATTTAAAAAAAACAATTAGTTGTTTGATGGGTAAGTGCAGTGTCAGCCCTGAAAGAAGGTAGTATTTTTACTATGCAAGCAATTCAGAATGGTTGAGAAGAGTATGGCCTTGGGAGGAAAAACTCTAGTAGAAGTATATATGGGTGTGTTTGTTTTTGTTGTTTTTTTTTTTTTTTATTTTTGGGTTTTTGTTGTTTTTTTTTTTTTCTTAATACATCAGGATGCAGGATATGTCTTCGCAATATCAGGCTTTCAAGGCTTTTCCATATGCAGCAGGACTCGCTAAAGGGACACTGACAGAGAGTTTAAGAATTTGAGGGTTATGAAGCGTGTGTGCCCTCCAGGGACTGAAGCTTCAAGGCATGAATCTCCTCAAGGCAGAAGCAGAGGAGAGCAAAGATGACAGTTACTGAAGCACTGGCTGTGTCTGCATACAAGTGCTTTCACATCATGGCTGGGGATCTGGTAGGGAGAGAAACTGCAAAAGACCATATAGCAACCATATATGAAACAAGACATGGGGAGGAATTTCAAGTGGAGGTTGCTGCTATGTTTAGAGAAATATCTGTTACTTTCTCAGAAAGTTCTGCTTTTCTTAGTTTGTGTTCAAATTAAAGAGTTAAAAGCTGCTTTGCTCTCCCCCATCATCCTGCATTTATTTGGCTGCTATACCCGCTGTAGAGGAACCCTTCCTTGTAAACAAGATAAACCTGTTAAAGCTGCTAGACCCTGGATCCTTGTCAGCACCAAGGTATTTATTGGTCGCTGCTCATGTGATGTTTTCCTGGTGGGTCCTGTGTGTCACCCTATGCATGAAATGAAGTTATATCAGGGTAGGTTAGGGACTTCTGGTGATGCTTCTTTTCTGGACCTCCAGCATCCTGGAAATTGATATCCAGGAGACTTACCTGATGCTGTGGACACCTTTAGGAGCATGCTTCCTTTGTGTCACACAAAGCTCACAGCTGTTGGTTTATCCTTGCTGGAAGAGAAGTGTTTTTTTTTTAACATTGTTTCCTCTGGCCCATTCCACCCCTATCTTCAGATCAGCTCACTTTGAAACTCAGAGTCCTGGGGATGTACCTGAGTAACCAGTCTCCAGTAGCTGAAGGTTTAGACCTGCTGACATGCTTTTTGGGAAGAGCCAGTACTGTCAGAGTTGAGCTGAGCCATGTGTTATGCTGCAGCACATTTTTACTTCTCTTTAGCACGGGCAAAGGATCATAACTGTAATGCTCTGTATTATCCTAAAGCTAGCACTTCTTCCATTCTGTTGGTGGTTTTCTTTCCCTAGAAAAAGTAACTTCTGAATCCTCCTGGAGATCAGCCTTCAGGTTTCATTGTAAACACTTTTTTTGGCATAATTAACTTAGGTTGTATGATACTAAGAAAAGATAAAGGTTTTGTCATTTGAGTAATTAGGTTTGACTGTGACTTTATCTCAAATGAGGATATTATTCATTGTTTTCTGTGTAAGCTGAAAAGCCTGAACATAGTCACAAGCTGCAATGAGTTTGCCTTTGAGTGCAACTCATAGTGAAATTCATTAAAATGGCAAGTTTGTTTTTCCAGTTGTATACTTTCAGTCCACCATTTCTTTGTCTTTCCCAACAAGCTAGTTTTGTTGCAAATGTTGTGGTCAGCAGCCCAAAGGAGAAGTTAGTCTTGCTGCAATGTAGAAGTATGATGTCCTTGAGCTACTGTAATTTTAACCTTCGGGCCTTTCTGGTTTGAATTTCTTTATTTGTATTTACTTCTCAAATACTTGAATGTTAGCTTTAAGTTGATGGTTTTCACTTTGGTAGTGGCTGTTTCCTCCATGGCATTTAGTAAGCTAGACTCCACTTTTGGAATAGTTGGGAGAGATGTACAGTGCTGGGAGAGGTGAGCTGTCAGTGTTTCCTTGGTCATGTTTGGTCCCACTTTAACCAGCTCTTTGCAGTCATGAGCTGATTCCATGTAAGAGTTGAGTTTGAATGGGTACTGGGGGGGAGTGGCATGAGGGAAAGGGGATGTTGCAACCTGCCATCTGGTGTGCAGGTAGGGCTGCTCTTGGCATCCTTGATTCTTGCTGTCAGTAAAACGAAGACAGACTGGTAGAAGCTGCTAATTAGGGGTGTTGTGAGGAGATTCATTCTCTTGACTGCAGTCAGGTGAGCAAAGGTTTGACTATTTTACTGCATACCTCTGGCCACTTCCCACTTGTTTGAGGCAGGTCGGGAGTATTTCGCGCTTGGCTGTGTCAGGTGCTGTGGAGAGACTTAAGAGGATGAAAATGAATGTCTGTTCTGCATCCTATCCCAGCAGGGAAGCATCTATTGCTATGTCTGCTTCCATTCGTTGAACTCTTAATTAGTTTCTTGAAGTGGAGAACATTTTTCTCCTCACATTGGTTGGTTACTAGCACCAAGGGAGAGTGCCTGCAGAACTGAAGCTTTTGTAGCTTTAATTTAAAAATTATTTGGATTTGGTGGCAGCATTTCAAAGCTGCTTACCTGTGTGCACCCTGCACAGAAGACACCAAATGCATCTCCCTTCCCAGAGCAGTCTGTCACCTTTCTTCTTTCTGTGAGAATAGAGGTTGACCTCTTCATTAAATGCAGATACTTCTCTATAGGTAGAAGTTCAAACACCTAAGCAGCAGTGGGATGACTGAACTTCCAAGGTGACAAGAAAAGAAGTTCCTGTTTCTTTTCTAGCAGAAGGGTTTGGGCTCTCATGTATTATTTCTGTAGTGTTAAAGTAGCTTCATCCACATAGTAAAGTGGGAATCACTGTAAACGCAGCAGTGTTAGTGGAACGCAAATGTTGTTTCAGTCTTAAGCTTGATTTTCCAGTTAAGCTGTATTTCACTGAATGTAAAACTTAGCTTATTTACTTCTCGAACATTGTGGTGATGGTCTCCCTGTCAGTTGTTATATATTGTGTGGTGGCAGGATGAAACCTGTGGTGCCTGA